CTGTATTGCCCTTGAGTAAGGTACTTAATTAAGCTCAATTGTTTTAGAAAAAAATTCAGCTGTATAAATAAGCAAAGCAAGAAGTAATTTTGGATAAAAGTGTGAATAAACATTATTGTAGAACCCTGTTACCAATACAATTCCCAACACAATATTAAAGTGTAATTGTTTTTTATACCACTTAAAACAGAAAATATTCTCTCCATTCTTCTACCCTCCTGTAATGCTAATGCATAATTGCTAATTTATTATTTACAAATACCAATAATAATAATAATAATAGGTATAGGTGGGGTTTGTCGTAGTTGGGATTTTTTTCGCCTACAGAAATGAATCGGGAGTCCCCACAAAGATATAGATACCTATCATGTGTGTGTGCTCTGCAATGGACATTATTATTATTATTAATATTTGTTTGTTTCCTTAGTATCAGGATTTTATATTTGAACTGAATACTTGTGTTTGCATCACGTTTACTGTAATCACTGTGTACTCTCTTTGCACTGTGTCTGTTTGGCACTTTATGTAGCCTATGTTCGTCTGTGCGCTACATTCTCACTGCTATATGCACCAGAATTTCCCCCTGGATTCAATAAAGTCCATCTTAATGTTAATAATAAACGTTCAGTTTTGCCTTGTCATTCTTCGGCACGTTGTTGACACATATGGCATATGGGCAGTAGTGGCTTAATGGTTAGGGATGCGTGCTTGTAATTGAAAGATTGCAGGTTTGAATCTCCAACCAGCAAGGCACCACTGAGGTATCCTGAGCAAGGTGCTGCCCTCGGGCGCTGAATTAGCTGCCCCCTGCTATGTCACGTTGTCACATAAGGGTTAAATGCAGAGGATACATTTTGTTGTTGTGCACTGTGCTGTGGTGTGTCAACAATGACAATTAATCACTAAATTCTAATATTAACATGTATTGGGGCCGTATGCATTTTGCTGTTGGATGTGGGTAAGGACATTTTCATCTGTATTCAGTCACCTGGCAAATAAGTTTATCTTGAGAATGTTGACATCTGTGTCTGCCATATGGAGTTACTTCTCCAAATGTCAGTTTTTATGAAAGGCTAATGAAGATTGTTTTTTAATCTTCCTTCACAGAGCCAACATAAAGGACAACCACATTACATAAGACTTACTTCTTTGAATTCAGCAAGGAGCTGCAGTTGAGCCGTGATAATATTAAATGTTAATATATTCTTTATACTTTGTTTATTAAAAGCTGGCAGCGAAAGTGTTTTCCGATCTGCCTTTTCTCTGTAACTTGCAGTAAACTGTTCAAAGCGGGATTCGGGGTCAGATGTGTTTAGAGGAAATTGATTACCAGAGGCACGTCAACACGATTAAAGGTCTTCCGGTATTTGACTTGTCAGATGCCCCCCCGATGCTGTGTTGACTGTGGGGACCAAGGCGGTGATGGTAAAATTTCTTCACTGGGGGGAGGGGGTGAGGAGAAGACCTCTTTATAGCAGAGGCCCCTGGGCTTCAACTTGGGTAAGCCCATGCCTTATAGCGCTGCTGGCAGTGATCCTCAGTGCTGCTGCCAGACCTGGCTATCGAACCTGCCATCCATGTGACTGGGTGGCTGTAGTAAGAGGACAGGGCTTGTGCTGTTTGAGCTATGGAAGCTACTTTCCCTCCCAGGAGTGGCACTGAGCTCGCAGCATCACTGCAGCTTGTCCTGTTGAGAATAATTAGGTGTCTTCTGAGGAAAAAAACAGCACAGATTGGTCGCTGTCACGCATGGTGAGGTCAGAGGTCAGAGGTCAAGTTTGTTATGTATCACTGGATAACTTCAAACTAAAGCTCGGGTCTCTGGTATTTATAAAATATCTAAAGAAAATCTGTATTCATTTCTGTTTTTCAAGTAGCATGAAGGAAGGTATTTTATGGCAAATTAAAATGGAAAAAATAAAGCAGAAAATTCACTATTTAAATATTTTCTTTATCACGCAAATGTTCTTTTCCTAACCTAAGTTCTTCATGGCGTTAATTGAATGAATTTTAGAAGATAAAAACTCATACTTTAATGGCAAACTTAAGGTACAATCTCTCCCTACGTTTTCTGTATAAATAAGATTAGCGCATAGTATAAGCTGAGCAAAACTGAAATGTAAAGTGTTTGGGCAGCTAGCTGATCACCATTTTTCTTGTTCTTCCCCATGTGCCTTTTGGGATTTTATCTTATAACATTGTATGATATCAGCTGCTGGAATGTCTCTGTGTGATGCTGTACTTAACTGGCTGCAAATCTTGGTATTTCAGGCCAGTTATTTCGGCTAGGACCCTAAGCAAAAACAACATGCAAAAATGAAATTAAAATATAATACAGCAAATATGGTCCTTGTTTTCAAAGCAATAAAAGTATCGAAAAGTGCAGAAAATATGAGAAACCACAAAATAACTAAACCATGACGTCTGAGTATACGTTCATATTCATTTAAGAGATACCTTTAGCCAACGTGATGTATATGTTTGAGAATATGGTCACGCTGTCCCTCGAGTGATGGGGGGGGGGGGGCTAATGATGAACTTACGCTGGCAATTTGGGGATTTGAACCAGTGACCTTCTGCTGATAGGCAAAATGTCCTATCACACTGAGCTACACTCCAATAAAGTGTGCATGGTGACATAACCATGGGAAGCGTTCCAAACCAGCTGAGGCAAGGCAACCCTTCCCCCCAGCAGTTCAGGTCCGATATGGGGAGGGGGGGGGTCCCTCGAGGCCTGCCGTGTGACAGCAGGTCACATGACTCCAGGCCTGTGAGCGTTAATCAAGGCGGCAGCCCAGCTGCTCTATGATTTCAGCCGAGGCCCCCGAAGGCGCGCAGCATGACGCTGTGGGGGGTGTGACACTTGTGACGTGTTTTCTTGTTCCCCCCCCCCCCCTTTTTCAGCACACTTGTCCGCCTACCAGTTGAGTCTCGCCTCAGTGCTCCGTGGCCTGAGAAGGAAGTGGAAGAAGAGATGCCAGAAATGAAACGCACAAGGCTCCTGCCGTCTCCCGCCTTGCATGATTAATTCATAGCTACGGATCTCCCCTGCTCCACCTGAGGAAGATCAAAGACCCAGACTCGCGTCTGCACTTCAGTCTCATCACAAAGATGCTCAGCTTCAGAGAAATGCTTGTGCCACGTTCCCGCCTAGCGACAGTCATGTGACTAACACAGAGTATCTGTCGTGACACCCACTGTGTCCCATTCCAGCAGTGACTCACGTCTACACATATGTCACATATGAGCACTCTCTGTTTAAAGGGCAAACGTGATCTCGCACGCCACACGTGCACGATAATTCAGCCTGGCTCACTATAGCTAGCTAATCATAACACCCACAAGCAGTATGGGACGCCCGGCTATCGAACTTTATTATGATGCAAGACACAGCATCCATTCAGCGTAGGACACATGTAGAGATGGGAGCAAAGCCCCTGGAAAAGACTGTGCTCAAGGGTCCAACAGAAATGTGACTGCTTTGCCAAACACAGGATTCAAACCAGTGACCTTCCAAACACAGGCGTAGAGGCCTCACCCGCTGATATCCCGCTGTTTGTACACTATGACTGTACACCAATAAGTCTTACCGCGCTTATTTGCAATGTCATTTTTTCCTTTTTCCAGAATATTAAATTGGACCCACAGTTTCTGGCCTGTAAAGCCCATCCTTCCAGAGTGTTTAGCATCCTGCGCTAATCTGATGTTAGCAGTAGTTAGTAAGGGGGGCCGATGACTTCAGTACATTGGACCCAAGATAAATCCACATTGATAACCTTAACTTAACCCGGGCTTTTGTTTGGTGTGCATGTTTTATTTCTTTTAGCTATTTGGGATTAGTAGGACCTCATAAACATAAAAACCAGACATAATTTTTTATGAACAATTAATAGTTTTAAACAAAAATGATGTCCTTATATGAGGACGTAGGGTCTCAGGAGGTTAATTACTACAACATTAAAATTAAATTACCTTCGGGTAGCAGGTATAGCAAGTGTCGTACATATTTCAGCAATCCTGCTATCAAAATACAATGTAGAAAAAGAACATCGGTATCCACCGAATCAAAACGAGAGCTCCCTTGAGAGACAGCTTTTGAAATGTTTATATTTGCACCAATTACGAATAAGAACATAAGAACATAAGAAATTTACAAACGAGAGGAGGCCATTCGGCCCATCAAGCTCGTTTGGGGAGAACTTAGCTAATAGCTCAGAGTTGTTAAAATCTTATCTAGCTCTGATTTAAAGGAACCCATGGTTTTAGCTTCCACTACAATAGCAGGAAGACTATTCCATACTCTGACTACACGCTGTGTAAAGAAGTGTTACAACTCTGAATCATAGACC